GAGGTGGCGGGGGTGCGGGTGGGGGTAGTGGTGGAGGCGGGTCGTCCGGTGCCGGTGCGGACGTGGGGACCCTGCCCGGTCTAGCTGCCCCGCTGCCTCCACCGTTGCAGCAGCCGCAGCAGCAGCAGCCTCCGCAGCAGCCGCAGCAGCCGCCGCAGACGAGGCCGGCGAGTGCTCTCCCGCCTGGGTGGCCTGGAGCTGGTGGTGGTCGTGCGCGTGGTGGTGCACCGGGTGGTGGTTCTGGAGGCGGGCCCTGTCAGTACCAGATCCAGACCGGTCCTCGCCGCGGCTTCGTTTGCGGTAAGATCGGTCATTCCACTCCTCGCTGTTTTCGTCGTCTGGACGACCTGTTCCGCCAGCGCTTTGGCCCGGCGCCCGACCTCCCGGACTGGCACAGCTTGCTTAGGCGTAGCATTCGGATTTTTGACTTGGACATGGATGCCATTGTAGCAGCCTTGCATGTGATGTATGCCGATGACTCTAGTGTGCTTCCCTCTTATTACCCCGTGTTGCCTAGTGTAGCTGTGCCTAGCGTAGACTCCCCTGCTGCGTCAGGCGTAGGATCTCCTGCTTTGCTTAGCCTCGGTGCTTCCACCGCTTCACTGTCGCCCCGCGCGACTGCTGCGCTTTCCTTCACCTTGGACTCTGGCGCCTCCCGGTGTTTCTTCCGCGACTCCACGACGCTGACGCCGCTGCCTGTTCCTGCTGCAGTTACTCTTGCTGACCCCTCCGGTGGTCCCGTCTTTGCCCGCAGTTCCACCTCCCTTCCCTGTCCGGCGGTTCCTTCAGGTTCGCTCACCGGTCTGCATATCCCCTCGTTCTCCAGGAACCTAGTTGGTGTCGGCTGCCTCCAGGACCTTGGCGTCACCACTACGTTCCCTGGTCACGAGCGGTATGCTGTCTGTACCGAGGCCGCCACTGGTGCCCCCCTTACCACTTTCCCCCGGGACCCGGTGTCCGGCCTGTTCACACTTGACACCGCGACGTCCCCGGCTGGGTCTTCCCCCCAGGTAGCTGCGTCCACCCAGGTTGCTGCTGCGTGCTCCTGTCGGTCCCTCACTCATCCGACTCTCCTTTGGCACCACCGCCTTGGTCACCCTGCACTCCCGCGTCTGCGTCACATGTCCCAGCACGGTCTCGTCCTTGGTCTCCCCGGTTCGTTCCCTGAGTTTCCCTCATCCCCCGCCCCACCGTGCACGCCTTGTGTCGAGGGCCGGCTCCGCCGTGCCCCTCACTCCTCCTCTTTTCCCCCTACCACCGCACCCCTGCAGACTCTGCACATGGACGTCTGGGGCCCAGCCCCGGTCCATGGGCCGCGTCGCGAGCGCTTCTTCCTAGTGCTTGTCGACGACTTCACACGTTACACCACCGTCTTTCCCCTGGAGCGGAAGGCCGACGTGCCTGACGTTCTCATCCCCTGGCTTGTCTCTGCTCGTCTCCACCGCGGTCTCCCTGCCTTGCGCCTCCACTCCGACCGGGGTGGCGAGTTCGCCTCAGGTGTCCTTGGTCGCTTCTGTCGTGCGGAGGGCATCACCCAGACGTTTACCCTGCCGGACTCCCCGCAGCAGAATGGGGTCGCTGAGCGACGCATCGGTTTGGTCATGGAGGTGGCTCGCACCTCCATGATCCACGCCGGTGCACCCCATTTTCTGTGGCCGTTCGCCGTGCGCTACGCCGCTCACCAGCTTAACCTGTGGCCGCACCCCCAGCGGCCGCAGGTTTCGCCGACCCTTCTGTGGACCGGGTCCCCTGGTGACGCGTCTGCGTTCCACGTCTGGGGCTGCCTTGCTCACGTTCGTGCCTCTGGCACGGACAAGCTCACTGCCCGCACCCTCCCCTGCGTCTTCCTCGGTTTCCTCCTTGACGCGTCCGACTGGCACTTCTACCACCCGCCGTCTCACCGTTTCTTTCACTCTCGCGACGTCACCTTTGACGAGTCCGTCTCCTTCTTCCGCCGCTTTCCCCACCGTGGTCCCCCGGTTACTCCCCCCCTGTTCCTGGTTCCTCCCTCCCTGGTGGCCCCTGCCCCTCCCCCCCCCCCGCCCCCCCGTCCGGCCCCCTCTGGTGTGTCTCACGTCACCCCCCTCCCGTCGGTCGTTCCGGTCGACGAGTCTTCTGACTCTGGTAGTCCTTTGGCGCAGTCCTCGCCGTCTGTCCCTCCCCCGGTGTCTCCTCCTCCACCGCCTCCGCAGCCGCCGTCGCCGCAGCTGCTGCAGCCGTCGTCTCCGCCGCCGCCGCCGTCGAGGCCGTCGCTGCAGCCGCCGCCGCCGCCGCCGCCGTCGTCGCTGCCGCTGTTTGTGGACTCTGGGGGTGCTGGAGTTGAGGTGGGTACTCGTCCCGGGGCTCCTGTCGTGGCTTGTCCCGCGGGCCTGGGGGTGGTACCGGTGCTGGCGGTGTTTCGGGCTCTGGGGGTGTCCCTTCTGGGGGTGCCGGTGTGGAGGGTTCGGGAGGTAGCCGTCGCGCAGCTTGTGGCCCTGGCGTTGGTGTTGTGTCGCCGCAGCAGCAGTCCCCGCCGGTGTCCGCCCTCCGTCTGCTCGGCCTTCCGTCCCCTGACCCTGCGCCTGTTCCTCTCCGGCCGTCTCCCCCTCTTCCCGTCTACGGCCCCGTGTTCCCTCCGCCGGACTCGTCCCCGGCTCGTTTTCCCCCTCGTTCCCCACCCGTGTCCCCTCCTCTGTCTCCCGACCCGACGCCGCCCTCTCACGTCTGGTCTCGCCGCCCCTCCCGTGCTCGTCCTGTCTCCCCCGTCCCGCGCACTCACCCTATGTTGCTCCGCTCCCACGCGTCTCGTCCTCCCCTCTTCCCGTCTCCTCCTCCGTCCTCTCTTGTCGTTGCGTCTCCTCCTCTGTCTGACTACTTTCGTGCCGCTCGTCCTCTTGTTCCTCGGGTCCTTGCCTCTCTCGTTACCGACCCGTCTGTTCCAGTGTCGAGTCTTGACGCCCTTGTCGCTGCGGTCGCTGACTTCGCCTCTACCCGCCGCCTTGACTACGCCTCCGCTCTGGTCTCTGACCCTGCCTGTCCTCCGTCTGTCGGGGGTGCTCCTGCCCTCGGCAGTGATGTCCTGGAGGACCGCCAGTTTGAGCTTGCTTTCCTGTCCGAGGCTGCTCCCCATCTCTGTTCCATGCTGCTAGTCCCTGAGGGTGACCCAGACGCTTTTGACATCCCGACCCCTCGTACTTACGCTGAGGCGGTTTCGGGACCTTGGGCCTCTCAGTGGATAGCTGCCATGGAGCAGGAGATGGCATCTTGGAGATCCACCGGCACCTTCGTCGACGCAGTTCCCCCACCTGGGGTGAACGTGGTCGATGGCCGCTGGCTCTTCAAGGTGAAGCGCCCTCCTGGAGAGCCGCCTGTGTTCAAGGCACGTTACGTGGCTAGAGGCTTCAGTCAGCGCGAGGGGGTGGACTTCTTTCAGACTTTCGCTCCTACCCCGAAGATGACTACTCTTCGGGTTCTGCTACACGTAGCGGCTCAGCGTGACTACGAGCTTCACTCCCTCGACTTCTCCACTGCCTTTCTTCAGGGCAGCCTTCACGAGCAGGTCTACCTGCGTCGTCCTCAGGGCTTTACTGGCACCTTCCCCCCTGGGACCCAGTGGCTTCTGCGGCGCCCAGTCTACGGCCTGCGCCAGGCGCCTCGTGAGTGGCACGACACGCTGCGTGCTACTCTTGCTGACCTGCAGTTCTTTCCGTCCTCTGCAGACCCCTCGCTCTTCGTTCGTGCTGGCTCGACTCCGTTCTACATCCTCGTCTACGTAGACGACCTGGTCTTTGCCACAGCTGACAGGGACGCACTGGCCTCCGTGAAGGCAGAGCTGCTGAAGAGACACACCTGCACTGACCTTGGAGAGCTGCGCCGTTACCTTGGCTTGCAGATCTCCAGGGACAGAGCCGCGCGCACCATCACCCTGACTCAGTCACACTTGGTGCGCCAGGTCCTTCAGAGGTTCGGCCTTCAGTTCTCCTCCGCACAGCCCACCCCTCTTCCTCTGGACCACAGACTCTCCGCTCCAGTTCCTGAGGAGTCGGTAGATCCCAGTGGTCCTTACGCTGAGCTAGTGGGTTGCCTCATGTACCTGATGACTTGCACTCGCCCAGATCTCGCATACCCTCTCAGCATCCTGGCTCGTTTTGTGGCCACAGGCAGACACCGACCTCAGCACTGGTCTGCCGCTAAGAGGGTTTTGCGTTATCTTGCAAGTACATCAGGCATGGGGTTAGTGCTAGGCGGACGCAGGCCAGTGGTCCTTACTGGACACACAGACGCTTCTTGGGCAGACGACGCCGAGACGCTCAGGTCTTCCAGGGCTACTGCTTTAGCCTTGGCTCAGGTGCTGTCTCGTGGAGAGCTACCCGCTCCTCGTCGGTTGCCCAGTCCAGCTGTGAGGCTGAGATCTACGCCGGTGCCATGGCGGCACAGGAGCTCCGCTGGCTGACCTTCTTGCTCACTGACTTAGGTGAGCGGCCTAGCTCTGCCCCGGTCCTGTACGCTGACAATAGGGCCATGATTCTCCTGTGTCAGGAGCCTCGACTCGAGGGCAGAGCGAAGCACATCCAGCTGCGGTACTTCCTCCTGCGCGAGCTACAGCAGCGGCGCCAGGCTCGCGTAGTACACTTGGCCTCCGGTGCCAACACAGCTGATATCTTTACGAAGGCGCTTGCGCCTAAAGATCATCAGCGGCACTGTTTACAGCTTGGTCTGGTTCCTGTAGGCTCTCACTTACTCGGGCCTTGACTTTGTACTGTCGTATATATATATATATGTATACACTCAGACTGGACTTGTGTCCTCTCACAGTGGTTGGACTAGTAGTGCCGCCCTGTACTCGTTCTTGCCTTGTCTGTACTCCTTCTGACTGGTCTTTTAGACCCTTGTCTCAGAGGCTGGACTAGTAGTGCCACCCTGAGCTACGTGTCTAGAACATTCCCCTATGCAGTCCAGGGGGTGTGTCAAACATGTGTAGTTATCATGTTTGTATAGACTGTATAGGGTCACCTTCTAGAGAGTACAACATTTAGGTATATGTTTGTGTACTCTCTCTCTCACATTATTCAATTCTAGGTTTGATAACTATATCATCGTTCCAACTCTGCAAGTTTCCACTGATGCCTGCCACCAGCGCAGTCCTCTGCATCCACTCCCCCCATCTCTTCCAGAATCCTCGATACCAGCCTTGCCCCATGTACTCTACCTTCAACCCCCTCTGCAACGGCTGCTGCTACAGTGGCTGTGGCAGGAAAGTTATATGGAGGCGCAAACGAAGGGGGTTCAAGAGATGAGGGTGCAGGGCATGGAGCACAGTTGGGTGCAGCAGCAATACATGCTGAACCAGCCCCAACAGTGCTGTCTGCTGCTGCAAATGCTGTGTCACTGCCAGCACAGTCGTGAGCAGCAGCAGCAGTTGGGGAAGCAAGCGAAGCAGAAGGCGATGCAGCAGCAGTAACGACAACCGGAGCCACTGTGGCAGCAGCACCATCACTGGCGCCGTCACTGACCGCAGCAGTTGCAGAAGGTATGGCAAGGTGAGTGAAAGGTGAGGACATAGCCCCTGCGTGCATCACGTGTGGCATGGAGTGGAAGGTGAGAGGGTACGGCACATAGGCCCGAGGCATGAACACGGGGCCCACAGCGCCCACGCCCGCCGCCCTCAACCCACGTGCCACTCTTCCTTGCCCAGCCTCCCCCCCGGCTCCGCCTGACCCACTTCTGCCTGCATTGCTAACAGCAGCACCTTTGCCCCTGCTGCCCACTGCGCCCCCTCTTGCCTCACCCACCTGCGCCCCTGCCCCCACCTCGTTGCCCTGCTCGTCCCCCCCTCCCCTGGGCGCGATGCGTCTCAGGTTTGTGGTGGCGCCGCACGGCCCGTTGTGCGGCGGCGCCTTCTTCTGGCGGCCGCGCTTCCTCTTAAGCGCGGGCTCGCCCGCCAGCCCCAGCAGGCATCGCCGGCTCGCCATGGCCGTGGCGGTGGCGGCTGCCATCATCATGGCGGCCGCAGAGCGCGCCGCACACGGGGCGTGCAGCGAGGGTGGCGCAGGGTACAGGGCCGCAGGGGGTGGGAAGCGCGGAGCAGCGGGGTGGAGTGTGAGCATGGTTGCTGCACGGGCAGGGACTGCGGGTAATGGGGACACGTGACCTGCAGTTGTGGACGGCGCAACGGCAGCAGGGGCGGTGCTGGTGGGTGCAGAGGGTGGAGCGGCAAGTGCAGCAGGGAGCGCGGAGAACAACCTGGGGCTGCCAGGCCCACGTGCAAGCGCCATGGCGCTGGCACTGTGTGCGTGAGGGTGCACGCCCACTGGCACGTGGCCAGGCATCACAGCTGATGCTGCACCTGCTGCGTACAGCAGATGGGGAGGCGAGGGGAAGGGCGGGTGCACGAAGAGCATGGGTGGCACGAGAGCAGCGGCGGGTCGAGGCCACAAGTGATACGCCATGAACGTGCCGCCGCCTGCGTTGCCAAGTGCACGTGCTGCTGCTGCACCTGGATCCATGCCCATGCCCCCCGCCACTGCCCCACTGCCCCCCCGTTCCACGTTCCCCCCCACAGAGGCCTCAGCAACCGCTGGCCGTGGGGCAGCCGCCGCCGCATTGCTTGCCACGCCCGCACCATCCGCTGCTGCTGCCGCCGCTCTGCTGCTCCGCTGGCGCCCCTCCCATCCCGCCACGCCGCAGACAGCACCGCTGCTTGGGCCGGCAGCAAGAGCATGTTGGGCAGCAGGAGCGGGAGAAGGAGCAGCAGCGAGAGGCGAGGTCACCGGGCAGCCAGCAGAGCACGCTGCAGCAACACGCAGTGCACGCTCTGCCCCCCTCTCCCCCTCACGCGCTGCTGCGTGCGGCCTGGGTGCTGCCACCTGGGCGCGCATGCACACCCCATGCGCCCCCTGCCCACCGCCGCGCCCCTCCACCTGCCACTGCACCTGCTCCACATGCCCCGCCCCTGACCCGCCACTCCCACTCACCTCCACTGCCCCTACTTCCCTCCACTCCTCTCCTGCCTGCGTCCCCCCACGGACATTTGCCCCGCACTCCCCTTTCCACCCGCCCCCATCCGCTGTAACCCCACGCCCTTGTGCATGTTCCTCCCCGCCCAACAAGCCAACCTCCCACTCTTCCCTCCCCATCCCCCCATCCCAGCGGGCCCGCGCGCCCTGCCCCTCCCCCTCTGCGGACCCCTCGTCCCAGTCCCCACCGCCCTCCTGCGCGCGCGGTTCGTCCTCCCACGCCTCCAGGCCGCGGAACCACGCTGCGGAAGGGAGGAGCGGGGCACGGAAATAGAGGGGCACGGGGGGAGACGCGGGTGAGTGCGTGTACGGCTGGGTGTCGCCACTGGTGCACGGCGATCGAAACTGGCAGGCGAAGTGGCATGCAGGCATGACCCTCACACCTATCCCAGTACGGCCCATGCACCACAAGCCCAACCACCGCTTCCCCCCCCAACGCACTGTCTGGCAGCGGCGCCGAGAGGAAGCACTCAGTCACCACCCCCTCGCCATTCCACGCGCCATCCGCTGCCCCGCCTCCGCGCGCCCCGCCCCCCGCGACAGGCGCCGTTGCCGCACCCAATCCCGCCACTGCGTCCGCTCGACGCTGCAGCGCCGCCGCATCGTCTGCGCCAGCGGCGTCCGCCTGGGCGGCGGGCGGCGGAAGCTGCTGCAGCCACTGGTGCGGCGACGACGCGGCAGGGGCGATGGGGGCGACAAGGGGCGCGGGAGAATGCGCGGAAAGGGGAGCGGAAAGATGGTCGGGGGCGGGCGGTTGGTGGGCGTGCACCCCGTCCGCGTCCATGCGCGCCAGCAGCGACATCAGACACCCGCCTCGCACGCGCGCATCTGAAGTCAGCGCGTGGTGCGCGCGGCAGAAGCTGATCGATTGGAGCTCGCTGTCCTCGTCAGCCCGTCCAGCGGCGCTGCTCAACCCCGCGGGCATGGCGGCGGGGTTGCCGGCGCGGGGCACGGCGACCTGGTCGCAGGCGGGCCACGCGCACCACGCGAGGTCGTCGGGCAGGCTCAGGTACTCCGACACCTCCAGCCCCTCCCACATGCCCTCGCCGCCCGCCTCGCCCACCCCTTCCCCCCAGCACCCCATCGCCTCGGCCATGCCTTCCCCCATCGCCTCCCCTATCGCTTCCTCCGCGCCCACCGCTACCGGCATCCCCGCGAGTACGGCGGAGGCGGGATGGTGGCTGCCGTGGCGTGTGGTGCCAACGACGACAGCGGCGCTCGACGAGCCGCCAGCCGAACGTTTCCGCCCGCCGCTACTACTTCCGCCGCCCGCCACAACGCCACCGCCGCAGCCGTCCCGCGTGTCCCCTTGCCCCCAGCGCGCACCCGCGCTGTCCGCCGTGCGCTCCGCGCAGTCCGTGGCGATCCCCGCCGGGGCGGACGGCGAGAACGGCGGCGGGTGCAGCGCCGAGTGGCGGCAGCTCGTGCTAATGCTGCTCGCGCTGCTTCCAAGCAACAGCCCCCGCCCCGCCGATGCCTGCGCGGATGGATGGGCGCGCGGAAACTGCGCTGCAGCGTGCGACATTCCGGTGTCTCCCCGCAGCAGCGCGCCGTGCTCGAACGCGACGAGCGGGTCGGCACACCCCCACGCGGCGAAGCGGCCGCACAGGCTGCCGGTCGATAACGACCCGGGCGCGCCCGCCGCCGCAGTGGCAGGCGGCACGGGCGCGCTGGAGTGAGGAGTGGACGACGCGTTCGCTGCAGAACGGGGCAAGCCTTGGTCGGGAAAGCGGCCGGCAGCGGGAAATGCGGAGGGCTCAGCGGAGGCGACGCGGCGCGACGCGGCGCATTTGGTCCAGCTCTCGCTGACGACGCTGGCGAGATCCGAGTCGTCCAAGGAGAGCTCCGCCGCTGGGGCGGGCGCACACAGCGCGACGCCGGATCCGACGGCAGAGGTGCAGCGAGGCAACGCCGGCTCCTTTGCCGCCGCCCCGCTCGCCCGCCCTCCGCATCCACCTGCTCCGCCCGACGGCCCGCGCACGAGCTGCTGCTCCGCGTCTCCCGCGCACGGCGACAAACCCGCAGGCGGCGCGCAGCGATCCGTCCGGGTGGCGTGATAGGCGCGGCGGTACATGGCGGGGGTGCGGCGCAGTGCTGCCGCGCCCACTCCCCCTCGTGCGCGCTCAAGTGCCGCTGCCAGCGAGCACAACGCGATGCACTCTAAACCGCGTGCGCGGTGCGGTTTACCTGCCACGGTCTTACTAGCCGTCGCAAAGATGGAGCTACTGGCTACGTGGGTGAACTCGGGACGTGCTCGCCCGGCGTGTGCGGGCCACAAGGACTGCGGGGCAGCGCGGCGGGATCGGGGCGCGATTGAAGGGCAGCGGCGAGGCGACGGCCAAGAGCGCTGGTCCTCACTGCCTCCGTGATCGGCGGCAGCAGCAGCAGGTCCGTGAGCTCTACGCGGAGCGAATAGAGGCGACAGACGTGTGGTGGTGATTGCTAGCGCTCGCAGGGGCAGTACAAAGACTCGTGATCGGGAAAATTGCTGTAGCAGCCTGTCCACGAAACTTTTTAAACATTCGTGGACAAGCCCTAATTTCATGGACACCACATCGAAGTTTTACTTCTCCCGTGGACTCCGTCAATACTTTCGTGGACTCCCGGCTTACTTCCATGGACACACACATATTCGCAGTTAAGGAGGAGTATACAGCAATGTACAAGTGATTACGGGCACAAAAATTGAAATACTCCAGACTATCTGTCGGTCGCAAGTAATCGCGAGCTACAGTGTCAGTAACCAGTTCTGAAACAGAATCTCGGAGCTTTTCTGGGAAGAGTTTGCAGCCGCACTCAAATATGCAATGCAATTTACAAAAAACAGTGTATTAAGGTCCGCGTCATAGAAACACTTATGATTCAAATTAGAGCTACTCAACAAAAACATAATATGCACGTGCTTGACGAGCCAGAATCAATCAGCAGTTGTTTTCTCCTTCATAATACATCATTTCATTATTAGGAAGTCTGTGAACAACAAAATAACACCTGAGAAAGAAATTTTTCAGAATCACTTATTTTTATTTGCATTAGTATGTTTCTTGTTCAAACATACAAAAAGATATTCCCAAATTTGTGAATCTAAAATACTTGTATCATTTTTTCATCTATTATTATTTTAATATGGTCAATAATAATAATAATAATAATAATAATAATAATAATAATAATAATAATAATAATAATAATAATAATAATAATAATAATAATAATAATAATAATAATAATAATAATAATAGTAATAATAATATTAATATCAAGACCTTAAACCTTCCATTTATACATGCATGTTTACCAAATGTTATTGGTATTCACTGATTTCACATCATTGAAAATGCAAGCCAAATATTAGTTGAAATTTTTGTGAATTTTAGAAATATGGTATTTCTCGATTCTTGGTGGGCAGAAATTCTTTGTGATTTTTACTGAGCTCTATTAACCTTGTAGCCATAATATCTATCTTTATACTACAACGTGAATCCTTTGTAGCGAGATTTCGCCTACTCGATCTACTACACTTGTCTCTCAACTAAAACCGCTTCGACACAGTCATTCAAATGAATTTTGAGGATCGCTTCAGAGTTCCTTTAAACACGCGAAACCCCTAGCGCACTTGGTGGCATGCAATTACTGTAGCTTGCGACTATTTGCGAGGGTTTGATCACGCCATAATTTTGTTTTTTTCATCCCGTCAGCATCTGTACAGCTCTATATGTTTTTTTTTTTTCAAATTCGCGTGTGTCCATGGAAGTAAGCCGGGAGTCCACGAAAGTATTGACAGAGTCCACGGGAGAAGCGAAACTTCGATGTGGTGTCCATGAAAGTAGGGCCTGTCCATGAAAGTATGAAATGTTTCGTGGACAGTCCGCGACAGCAGTTTCCCCATCGTGATCACAAAGGCGGCATGATCAGCGAGGGAGGGTGAGGGCAGGGAGGGGAGAGTTACAGCCAGCAGCAAGGGGGACGAGGTTGGGCGGAAGAGGTGTGTGACGGCGGGTGCAGCGCGGAGCAGCGTGGGCGCAGCTGGGACGGGGATCTCCAGGCAGTGCAGGTGAAACCTCGTCAAGCAAACGGGGCCAGGAGCTTTCCGCCCAGAGAAGGGACAGCGAGGTGGAGACGAAGGGCGATCCGCGCGGGGCACAGCAGACTTTACGAGGACCCAGAAACAGACAGCAGCACGGTGGAACAGGCGGAAAAAACTCCCCCCATAGTTCCGCCCACAGAAGATGCGAGGGTGCCTGTCAAAAGGGGAAACAAGCAATAAGGGGGTAGCCGTGTTACCCTCTGTGACGAAAGTATGTGCTTAGAAACAAAATCGTGTTTTCGTGTTTCTTGACTAGCAAATTTAGGATGAATCCTAATTTGGGTATTTTGCGTTTTTTCTCTCGAACTGCGCCTGGAGCTTGGGAAAATATTGCGCCAGCCACAATGATGACGAAATTGGGCTGGCGCGAGCGAGAAAACATTCTGAGACGGGCGGGGGTTACTTCTACTGACCCTTCGTAGAACGTTTTTCCTGTAGTTTCTGACTAACGGTGGAATCCGACTGATGAGTCATGTTGCGAACTCGCTAATTCTGATTGTTTATATCGTGCCACTGACCGTACATGTTATCGAGGCCCCTAATACTGAGCGCCGATATACTTTCCCTCGCAAATTCGTATTGGGAGGTTCGCATTGTAAAAAAAATGAAAACGGTGACAGAGTCTAAGAATGTAAGGAATTAGTCATTCCTTACTGAGGCTTTCTACAGGGTGTACGACTCGAACAGTCCCGAACCAGCGATAGGGTTCCAGACCTTTCAGTTCGAGCCTCCTTGGCCTTTCCGGACCTCGGTTCGACACATCGAGGCCCTTCGACACTTTTCCCGAACCTTCTGATCCTACGTCCAGGATCGCCCTAGGTTTCCTATATATTGTGTTGTCTTTCATTTTCTTGTCATTCACTCGTTCACAGTTCCGCCATTGCCCTCTGCGCTACTCGGCAGTTCCATTCATAACAAAGAATCTGCAACCACAAGTACTTGAAGTAGAAGGTAATACTGAATTTGTTATGAATGAACAATCAGAGTAGCACGGAAATGAATAACGAAGTGTTCAATCACTGAATTACGATACAAGGAATGGCAAGCCAAGATATAAGTCTTAGAAACTTAGGACTCAAGGTTCTTAAACTTAGGAGGCTAGGTTGGCTAGGATACTAGGAAGAAGGCCGCCATGGAATAGCATGAGGAAAAACGGATCTAGGAAGGGAGAGAATGTCGAGAAGAAAGGGAATTAGATTAGGAAGAGAGGGGAGTACAAGGAGGGGTTTATACCCCCTACAGAAAGGTTCAGTAACAACCTACCAAGCCTATATTAAATTATAACTTATATAATTTTAACAATAAGAACATCAGAGCTAGTCTAACCATGAGATGTGAAGGTTCGCGAAAGAGATCCAAGGGTCTCAAAGTGAAGAAGCGATGCCCGGAGAACTCCCGAAGGTCGAACTAGAAGGTCTGGAGAAGCTGAGGCGGTTCGGTCAGAAAGGTCCGGAACCGTCCCAAGGCTTCGGGTGTGTTCGAGCGTACGTGATAGCAGTACCGCTAGGTAAGGAATGGAAATTTCCTTACACCACCCCCCCCCCCCCTTAGCGAAGGTGATCTATATCAGCCACGTGCTTGCGGGCCAAATAATTTGCAAGTATCGAAGGCGATTGTATCTGGTCCGAGGGCACCCACGTGTCGTCCTCACTGGTACGATTGGTCAATTGTATCAGAAAGTTAACGTGTCGTCCTTGGGCGTCAATACGAATCCTATGGCTCAAAATCTTCGAAGGCTCAATGGTCGTCTCTGCTGGTGGCCGTTCATCCGGGACCAATCGTTGTCGAGCGATGTCCGATGTCCCAGGTACGAAGGGCCGCAACAGGCTCACGTGAACTTGTTGTGAATACGCCAATCATCAGATATGCGCAACTGGGCAATTATCGGCGTCACCATCTTCATGATCTTGAATGGGCCACAGAAACGTGGTCGTAATTTCGTCGGTAGTGGCAGTCGTAAGTTCTTGGTGTCCAGAAAAACTAGTTGCCCTACTGTCATTGTAATATCCCGTCGATGTAAATCCGCATACCGTCGAGCGGTAGTGTCGCCTTGTGAATAAGTTCAACAGCTTTCTCGGGCAGTCTGTAATTCTTCGACAAACTGCTGCGACCGTGGTACATGACTCTCAACATTGGTAGAGATAGGTACTGTTGGGTCCATCCCGTAATTGAGGTAAAACGGTGAGTGATTAGTCGTAGCTGAAGGCGCGTTGTTGTAGGAGAATTCCAACTTGGGAAGCGCGTCCTCCCATTTGTTTCGGTCGGGGCAGTTTGTCCGAATCAGATGTTCCATCGTTTGGTTTGTCCTCTTTGTCTGACCGTCCGTTTGGGGATGATAAGCGGATGAGAAATGCAGGCGCGTGCTGTACCAAGCCCACATGTCATGCCGAAATTTCGACGTGAACTTCGGGTCTCGATCATTAATGATTGCTGCAGGAATCATATGTAGGCGAACAACAGTCGAGATGAACAGTCGCGCGGTTTCTTCAGCTGTGATTGTTGTACGACATGGTGCGAAATGCGCCATTTTCGTCAATCGGTCGACGACATCCAATACTGCGTCGTTCCCGTTGGATCCGGCCGGCAGACCTGTGACGAAATCCATTGTCACGTGTTGCCATGGGCGTTGAGGTGGCTCGAGGGGTTGCAACGGTCCTGTCGGTCTCTGATGTGATGATTTCATTCGCTGGCAGATCGAACACGCGGCCATATAACGCGGCACGTCCGTCACCATATCTGGCCAGTAATAAAACCGCTGCAACATCTTCCGAGTTTTATCAACCCTGAAATGTCCCGATAAATTCGAAGCGTGGACTTCTTGAATTAGTAATTCGCGAAGTAGACGATAACTTGGGACCCAAATTCGAGCTGTCCCATTTCGTAAGTACTGTAATAGATGCCTTTTCGTGTAGTGATTTTGAGATGGCCATCATTTATGAAGAAGGGGTCAGTCGAATACCGTGGGTAAATAGTCCACTCAGTAGCAGGTTGCTCTAGGCAACTAGTACTGCTGCAAGTTGGGCAGACGGTATGGAGAGGGAGTCATCAATATTGTTGGCGCTCTTTTTGCATGTGATCTTGTACGTCAAGTTGGACTCCAGATAGTCCCGCCAGCGCATTTGCCGCGGGTTGAGATTCGGCTGCGCCCTCAGGTATTGTAGGGATTTATGGTCGTTCCGCACCGTCACGTCTGCTCCACTCAGGTAGCACCTCCAGGTTTTGAACGCGTGGACCATCGCCAGCATCTCCTTGTCGTGTACCGGGTATTTGCGCTCAGCAGATTGCATTTTTTTAGACTCGTACGCGATTGGTTGAAGACCATTGCCAAAATCTTGCATGAGCACAGCTCCGATGGCGACGTCACTTGCGTCGGTGATGACTTTGAACGGCCGTTCCGGGTCAGCGATGCGAAGTACCGGTGGTGACATTAAAAGATTTTTTAATGCCTCGAACGCAGCTAGCTGCTTCTCCCCCCACTTGTAAGAAGTCCCTTTCTGCACTAGGTCGATCTGAGGTGCAGTTAACCCCGCCATGTTGGGTATAAACCGCCTCACGTTATTCACAAAACCCTGAAATGATTGCAGCTGCTGCAGATTTGTTGGCGGTTTCCACTCTTGAATAGCCCTGAGTTTTTTCGGGTCAATTTGAATCCCCTCCGTGGAGATTATGTGCCCCTCGAACTCTAGTTCTTGTGTTAAAAACTCGCACTTGGAGCCCATGGTGATGAGACAATTCTGCTGCAGCCGCTGAAAAACCGCTTCCAAATCCTTGAAATGTTGCTCCCGGGTCTTGCTGTAGATCAGGATGTCATCCAAGTAAATTATCACACATTTGTCGAGTAGGTTACGGAACACCCCGTTCATGGTGAGCTGGAACGTCGAGGGGACGTTCGTTAATCCAGACAGCATCACCGTGTATTCGTAACTCCTGTAGTGAGTGTGAAACGCGGTCTTGCGGCAGTCGACAGCAAACACCCAAATTTGATGGTAACCGTCACTAAGGTCGATCTTTGAAAAGTAGCGAGCTCCGCAAAGGTTGTCAATCAGCTCGTCCGTGTGTGGGATTGGGTGGCGCGATTTAATTGTTACCCGATTATTGGCACGATAGTGCGTACACATGCGAAGTTCGCCGTCCTTCTTTGGGGTGAACAGGATCGGTGCTGCGAACAGGGACGTGCTCGGCCGAATAAAACCTTTTGCCAGCAGGTAGTCAAGTTGATTCCGTAATTCGTGTAGCTCGGGCTGAGTCACGCGCAATTGAGTTCGCACAGTAGGTTGCGCCCCGGGCTCCAGCTTGATTTTGTGGTCTTGGGGTTGTTCGAGTGGCAGCGTTGAGGTACACAACGTTGAATCGTGTTGAGGTTGTCTCTGCTTCCGGCCACGTGGGTACTTTTCGCCAGCCTTTTTCGCTCTTCACTGTGCACTCGCCTGTCATCCAATCGATCTACGGATTGAATCTTTGCAACCAATCGTGTCCCAACAGCACATCGTAGCCGTTGAGTGTTGTCGCTAGCATCGGCGCGCTGAAGCCGAAATCTTCGCCACACTTCATTGGAACGACTGGTACTTTGTCGCGTATCGCCAGTGGGGTGCCATCCACCAGTCTCGCGTCTATTTCGGACAGACACCGCTCCAATGATAGGTGTAGTCTTCGTGTTGTTTCCCGATTTATCAAGCTGTGACTCGCACCTTCGTCGATGATTATTTTATTTTTTCTTCCATTGAGTCGTCCTTCCGCCAGCACTGGGTGATCCACTGGGTCATCCCCCTTATTCAGTCGGGATCGGTTGATGGCGTGTATCGGAACTACCACACGGTGGGGATGGTGTGTTTCGGGCGATGAGGCAGGGTCATTAGGGCGCCCGACCGCTACTGACGCTTGGCGTTTCCCGACCTGCCTTCGTCGTTCTTCTTTATCTGCTTCTTTCGAGGGCAATCGTGAGATTGGTGACCTGGCTGGTGGCAGTTGAAACATTGTCCCTTGCAAAAATCTTCCATGTGCTCCTTTGCAACTATGCCGTGAATCGTGGGCCATGCATCCTGGCCGCGAAAACGATTTCCCTCTTGGGAACCCGCTCTCGTATACGTCCGATGCGCGTCGAAGTTGTCTGCGATCCGAGCTGCTTCTAAACTCACGAAAATGGGTGAGTGAGGAAAGTGGCTCTGAATACCAGGTGTTATGAATGAACAAGCAGAGTCGGGCGGAAATGAATAACGAAGTGTTGAATCACTGAATTACGATACAAAGAATGGCAAGCCAAGATATAGGAACACCAGAGCTAGTCTAACCATGAGATGTGAAGCTTCGGGAAGGAGATCGAAGGGTCTCAAAGTGATGAAGCGAGGCCCGGAGAACTCCCGAAGGTCGAACTAGAAGGTCTGGAGAAGCCGAGGCGGTTCTGTCAGAAAGTCTGGAACCGTCCCGAGGCTTCGGGTGTGTTCGAGTGTACGCGATAGCAGTATCGCTTGGTAAGGAATGGAAAACCCTTTAACAACCAGTCTT